CATCTGATTTTTTTGGCCTGGTCTCGCCTCATTTAGTTGACGATTCTTTGACACATATAAATCATAGACTGTTCTACTGAGGAAAAAGTTTCTTATCGACTGATGGCATAATACTCCTCTGAGAACATATTTATCAAAGATATATAAGAATTCATATGTTATGCTGTAATTTATAGGAAAAATTCGGACTCATATTGCACTGCTTCGTTTATGGACATGTAACAAAAATATGTATGATTCAAAAGACGAAAAATTTCTTCATATTTTTTTGTAAATAAAGGTTTTCTTTTAGCATCCTTCTATTGCATAGTCATGCGAGTGATGGACGAAAAAGATACTTTTATAAGATTTCGTTTATTTGTGCTCAATTAACAGTACGCTTCAATTCATTGCACCACATGATATATTAATCATAAATAACAAATAAAAATCAGACAACAAAAAAAAAGAAACCATCAAAAAAAGATGGTATATTTTTTATTAGAACTTTCATTTCATCTGAATTTACTTGTTTATATAGAGAGTTGATCAAAATATGTATTGCTAATTTCTTGATTCCGTATAAATACAATTTTTTGAAAGAGTGATGAAGAATCTATTGTTGTGAGTGGATGTTATCTTTGAACAACTTCATTAAATGAATGCTAAATTATGCCTGTTTTTAATTAGACGGACAGAAAAATGTCGAATGAGATTTTGAGATTCATGGTAATAGTTTCACTTTTTTCACTCGCAGCTCTGAATTTCATCCTCATGCTATAAATGTCTCCAATACTATTCATCAATATTACTGAGAGTACGCAGAAATACAGTCATATATCATTCTTTAAGTTTATTTTACTTTATTGATAAAGAAAAAAGAATGTGAACTTTTCATGGTCGTATTCCAAAAGTTAAATCGTAGGGTTTTGTTCAACTCGACATTGCTGTGACGGAACAATGAATTATGCGAGTGTTTGAGTTATTGGCTGTACAGTGTTGAATCGAGAGAATATTTGTTTGATTGATTGACGAACTTCAGGCAGTCCAACGAGACTCACGAATGGATAGAAAAGACAACCAATGTACTCAAAATAAATAAACAAATTTGAGGCTAATTCGAGAGCAAATGAATTTGGGTCAATGAGTGAAATGGAATAAGAGACAACGTTGGGAATCCAAACAATGATATACAAGAGAGAGACGACCACTAATTGAAGAACCATTTTACGATTACGTTGCCAAATTTCACGTTGACCCATACGACGTTTTTGAAGAAGCACTCGAACAATGAGTATTATTGTCGCAATGGTACCGATGACCACAGGACTGAATACATTGAAAAACCAATCAAATAAACCAGGAGTAAACTATAAATAAAAAATAGTCCAATTATGAAATTCTCCTTTAGTTTATAACTTTCTTTCTTCTGTTAATCAGTTCAACTCGGTAAAAACTATATTTAGTATTTTTAAGAATATTACACTATAAACTTCTTTTATCATATAAAAACCTATTGTATCCTATATTCTACTTTAGTTCGTATTGACTCTTCAAAAATGATTATAAAATACAACAAATTTTTGATTGATTTGTTGAATAAAATGCATCAAACCTACTTCAAATGTATAGCAAGGTGCACCACAGACAAACTGAGTATAGTCAAAGTTGTTTTCACATGAATAGATAATAATCAATCCAATATAGATCAATGGTGGATAGATCAAAAAGATCAGCAATGGTCCATAGTGTAGCAAAATTAAATGTCTCTTGAAAAAGACTCGATAGAAGACAAGAAAGTATCGTTCAATACATCCATAAGCCATGAGCGTTAGACCCATGTCACTGATTGCAAAATTATATACAGGCCAGAAGAGACAAAATTGCTTTGTTTGTACAGGCACAAATCCTGTATGTAACAGAATCAATGTGAATGGCATTTCCGTGGTCACCTTTAAACAAAACTAGCGAGTATTTTTTTTCAATAACAAACTTTCATAACTCACTTGAATAAGATTGATTAATAATAACGAGAGAATAACATGATTGTTGAGTCGTTTACGAAGTTCTCGAGATCGAATAAAATGATATAAGATGAAAAATGAACATATTATTGAAAAAATCATCATTGTTACAAACAACGCAAAAAGGATTGAACGACTCAACGGTATATTAAATTCCATTTTTGTTTTACTTTTGATTTGTGAGTGATATAAATACTCTGGTTAACCTACTTTTAAATAATCAAGAAATATAACAATTAGCAATGCGCTTCGGTCTCTTATGAAGAAAAATTTATACAGCTTGTTAGAGAAAAAATTTTCTAGTGGCCTCTCAACGTTAAATTTAATTCATGGGATATTAATGCGCAATTCTTCAAACACATACTTGATGACTGAATAGAGAATAATGGGTTCACTGTGTTGAATTAAACCTTTACTTCTTTTCAAAAAAGTTGTATTCATAAAAAAACAAGAATATGAAAGCATGTAATTATATGCTTGAATATGACTACATAATGAGCTCGAGCTCTTTTGATCCCGTACTTCTTCAACTGTAATCATGAAGATTCATAGTCTTGGAAAACAGTTTCTAGATCGAATATGACTATGTTGAATTTTTTATTCTTTGTGATTTTAATGCCATATATATAATTCATTTTACCGTTCGCTATTGTTCTTTTGTGGTGACAAAAATTGTAACAACATCTCATCAATGGAATATTATTTTTTTCATTAACTATCTTAATAAACAAATCTTAACTTAACGGGTGATGCAAACGTAACGGTAAAAATCTCGATCCTTATATTTTTTGATCGATATGACCTTGAATATATTTAACTTCAGTACAGTTTTCAACTGTATAATACAATACAATCCATAAGACAACGTATCAATCAAGTAGTTAGATCTCTTGCTGAAAAAAAAACTAAATTGACGGGGATTGAGAAACATCATTAGACACTACCAGGCTTACATACATAGTAATAATAGGCTACCATTTAAGTGGTCAGTATAATAGATGAAATGGTCAGTACTGAAATTAGCAGTAATTAATTGTAAAATGGTCAGTTTATTAAATCAAGGAGCAGCAAAAAATTCCAGCATATATCAGTAAGAAATACAAATTTGGACAGTGAAAAATACAAAAGTTATCAGTAGAAAATAAATTTAACAAAACCAAAGAACCACATAATTAGAAGAAACTTTAACAGCAATTGAAAAAAAAAGAAAAAGAAAATCAAATTATTGTATCAATAAAGTAGATTTAGCCTTTGTTGGTTTACTTCTTTTTCTTTTCTCACCGATTGGAACTGTTTTTGCTGCGGATGGTGGTTTCTAATATTTCAAACGAATATGGTGTGAGTGGGTGTAGCTGTGGCTGAGTGTAGGTGTGGGTATCGAGAAAGAGTCTATACACGTCCGCACCCATCCTATACATGGGATAGATAAAGACAGTGATGAGAGAAGAAGTCGAGAAGCTTCTTTTCCTTTGTTTTAGACAATGGACGATAAGAAGAATTAAAACAATGATTCCTCTTATTCACAAAATGTATAGGTTAAAAGAAGCAGGTGAAAAGAAGTAAATTAAAAGAATAGATCAAAAGAACGAGAACATATTTAGAATAGCTGAAAACAAAGAAGAAAAGGAAAAATACGTGATTCACTTTACCCAGGGAATAAAAAAATGAAAAAATTTCATTAAATGGTTTTTTTCAAACTTTTCATTAAAAAAATTCCGTTACTTTAATTATTTCGCGAAAATCAAACTCACCCCGATAGTTTCATTATTTTTGTATCATTTTCATTGTCTTAAATTGTCTATTCTTAAAAAATTGAATTCATTGCATTAGTCTTATGTCTTTTTCATCATTTTTATTAGATAATCTTATTTTTTTACAAAACTATTATAATAACACTACTTTCTTTACTTTTGCATCATTTCCATTGCATTAATTTATCTATTTAAAGAAAAACTGAAATTACTTCATTAGTTTTATTTCTTTTTCATCATTTTTATCAGGTCATCTTGATTTTTTGTTTTTGCAAAATTATAATAATAATAGTACTTTCATTACTTTTGCATCATTTTCATCCTGTTAAATTGTCTATTCTTGAAAAACTAAAATCACTGCATTAGTCTTGTTACCTTTAAATTAGACATACTACACTTTTTTTTTGTTACTGGATTAAGTGCAAATTTATGACAGCTTTTACAATTTGTACATCATATGACTTTTAGTCTGAATTTCTATTGAATACTTGAAGGAGAGAACCAAGATGTTTGAAGAATATAATAATCTTTATCTAATATATATGCGTATGACAACTAATTGGGATTTGAGAAAGAATAGTCATCAATGAATTTACTAGGAGCTTTCTAACAAATTAGGATAACGTATAATAATAAAATCTTTCGTACTCACTTGTATGTACGACAGCTTCTCGATCAAGTTAATAGGTCTAATTGATACGATCTGACCGAATAATCGAATGAAGACAAAATCAGAGCAGATGATATTGACTGGTGAAGATTGATTGGCGACATCGATATTTACTGCAAGATATTTCTGGATGATGAACTTTTCCACATAGAGGGTGTGGGTGTGGGTGCGGGTGTGGGTGTGGGTGTGGGTGTGGGTATGGTTGGTTATAGTTCACACACACCTACACCCACACTCACACCCACACCCACACCCACACCCCATATATGGTCACTATCTGTCTACCTTTAAATATAGCAAGGATAAAGTAAAAATAAAAATGGGGTCGTTACTTATGATACACCCCCTATGTATCATGGCCAATTCATCACCGATCAACAGCTTACGCAGCTGTGCCACTACACGCAAGAAAATCAAATTTAGATCGACTTTTAAAATCGATTCCGCGTCTTCTAGATAAGTTCACTTCATACAAATATGAACGATCATTACTGCAAATACACTTTATTTTAAATATTTCATCCATCACCAAAAAAAAACGAGTTCTTTAAATACGCAGGTCCTTCAGTGAACTTTTTAAGGTAATGGCCAGCCATTTGCTGTCAACCATTCTTTTTCAGCGTTTGTTAGTCGACGTCCACCATGTTTCCATGTAGCATCATTGTAGAGTGCGCTTCCATCTGTAAAGTGGACATGATCTAAACGGTCATATGGTGGAGTAGCTGAATCGACACGATCAACAGATTTTGGTGCTTGATTGCGGTCGACTTGCTTCTGCATATAGCCAGCTGTTTGCTTTTTTTCTAGAACGAAAGAGTGAGTTGAGCTTCTAAGTTATACGAAACCACGTAAATAGTCGAACTATCACTAACAACGTAGTCTGATTGAGTGATAGAGAGGATTCGCCATTAGTACCAAAGTCTTGTTACTTTTGAAGTACAACGAGCATGGAACTATACACAAAAAAACTACTTACGTTGTGCAGCAGTACTTGTTGCTAAGCTAGAAGCGAGATAAATTAGAAGGGCAGTGTATAGTATTCTGTTACGATCCTCAATGTGTCACTTACATAAGCAGACATAAACCAAGACCAGTGAGAAATAGAGTGTTCATCTTCTTTCAACACGTTTAAGCACAATATAATTTTTAAAAAAACTTGCGTTAAGTGCCTACTTGTTTTACTTTTGCTTTTGTCACAAATGAAATGAAACTTGCGCTATTCTACTAGGAAAATGAAAAAAGATTAAAATATCGAAAAGAATAAAAGGAGAATGATTAACCCTGAAACGCCCACCTGGGGTCCGCGCGGACCCCAACTGGTTTCATTCTAATGTTTTACATCTATAATCGTAGATCATAAAACACCTCTCTAGATATGCTCTAGTGAAGACTAGTAGAGTATATCATTGACAGCATTCGCTTATCATCATTGATTGTTCATGACATAAATTATCCCAAAGTACAAATATACGCTTATTGCCCACCTGGGGTCCATCCGGACCCCATAGTATAACATTAGTTTTTGCTTTTTATTTGATTACGACTTTTTATTTTCATATTGTATATCATTTTCTCGCTCTTGTGAGGGTATGCCAGAGCTGTCAAATAAATTGAAAAGCATGTTAATGGCTTTAGGACGTTGTATTCTGTATATTTGAGTACTCCTACAGGTTTTCTGTTAGTTTTCAGATAATTTTGTTTCACATATAGAAAGTTGTCTTTTTCATCGAAAGTACTTTTGCATAGTAATCTTATATACACATCTTTTCTTTCTTTCTGCTATTGCGATGACGTCACGATATATACATGTTCCATCTATATTTTATTTCGTTCTACCATTATACGTGATTGCATATATCATTTCTCTAGTATGTTCAAGTACATCTATTTTCTTTCTCGTTCTTTCTACATAAATGACATGTACTCTCTTTTGAATCTTCTCGTAATTTCTTTTTTTTTCTATTATGCTCTACGGAATTCTTTCTTATTCTTCGCAAAAACATATATATATACCTCTTGCTCAAAGCAATAAAATCACTATATTTTTTTGCATCGCTAACGACTATTATCAAAACACGTATGGATAAAAGAAAACGCTCTAACTTCAATCAATCTAAATATTGGCTCGACGACTCGGAACATTTCGATGACAAGTCCAGCGACGAAGATACTAATGTAAATCATGATTCTGAAGATGCGGAAATACCTTCTACTCTTCAAGATACTTCTGATGAATCAAATGATGGTACGGTCGAAAAGGATTCAGGTGATGAATCCGATGAAAATAGTGTTGATACCGAAAGTATGAGTGACGAGGAACCACCTAGACGTCGAGCAAAACGTAAACCACAAGTTAAACCAACACCGGTTAAAATATTTTCTTCAAAATCTGGTCGACAATGGACATCGAAAGAACCTTCCAAGAAAAAAGTTCCAATTGCTAATATATTGCGACAGCGAACTGGTGTTGGTCGACCAGCAGCAGATATACAAACTCTGAAAGAAGCATTTCAACTTCTGATCACTCAGGAAATGGTTCTTCTTTTGGTCAAAGAAACCAACCGACGAGCACATCTACTCTTGGAACAATGGAGTGAAGAAAACCCTGATGAAAAAAGTCAATGGAGGGACACAGATCTTGAAGAAATGTGGGCTTTCATTGGGCTATTGCTCCTCGCAGGTGTTCATCGAGCAAAAAATGAAACTCTAGATGAACTATGGTCAATGACCAATGGACGACCAATATTTCGAGCAACTATGAGCAAGAACCGTTTCAAAAGCTTGCTGCAATTTTGCTGATTTGACAATACAACGACGAGAGAGGAAAGATTGAAGGTGGATAAACTGGCAGCAATAAGAGATTTATGGACAATGTTCTTAGCTCGCCTACAAATATGCTACATGCCTGGTGGATCACTCACCGTCGACGAACAGCTAATACCAACTCGTGGTCGATGCAATTTTCGTCAATATATACCTAGTAAACCAGGAAAATATGGGGTGAAGATCTTCTGATGTTGTGACTCAGATACAGCATATCCTTTGAATGCTGAAGTTTATTTGGGACGTCAGCCTGGAGCACCAACTGCAGCTAAAGATAAAGATCGAATTCGTAACCTAGTGAAACAGTTGATCCATCCTTGGATCAATACAGGACGGACAATTACCACGGATAACTATTTTACTAGCGCAGAGTTGGCGGAAGATCTTCTAGGTGTTCAAACGACTTTGGTTGGAACTATTCGACGAAATAAGAAGGAAATTCCACGAGAGCTGCAGCCTGATACTCATCGTCCTGAACAATCATCGATATTTTGTTTTGATCGTCAGCTAACGTTAGTTAGCTATGTACCTAAGAAAGCATATGCTGTGATTTTGTTATCATCTCTTCATCATGATCAAACAATTGCCGATGAGAAAAAGAAAAAACCAGAAATTATTTTATATCACAACAATACAAAAGGTGGGGTCGATCGAATGGATCAGATGGTTCAGACATATTCATGTAAACGAAAAACAAAACGATGGCCAATGACTTTCTTCTTCAACATAATTGATGTTGGTGCTCTTGCTGCTTGCATCGTTTGGTTAACTAAAAATCCTCAATGGAATGAGAAGAAATGCTATCGTCGACGTATATTTCTAATGGAATTAGGTTATGATCTCATTCAATCTCATTTGGAACGACGACAACATCAGCCACAAGCACTTCAAAAAGGCGTTCGAATAGCTATGCAAGCAATTGGACTAACTGTTGCTACTTCACAACCGAATACAGTTTCAACAGACACTGCAAAGCAGCGTTGTCATCTTTGTCCGCGAGAGCGCGATCGGAAAGTTGTTACTCATTGTTCAAGTTGTAATATTCCCTGTTGTCCTGATCATCATAAAGTTATTTGCACTGTGTGTAACGAAACATTTTTAGGATAAAAAGGATTTATAAAAAAAAGTTTTAGAAATAAAATATAAAATACCTAAATATAGTTTCTTTTTTATAAGATAATAATCGTATAACACGCAAAACTTATGCCACATAGTGCTATCATAGTATACTATTTACAGCGTCTGTTGTATCTATCTTATCGGCTTGGGGTCCGTGCGGACCCCAGGTGAGCAATAAGTAGTAGTTTTACAGGTGGGCGGATGAGGGTTAATATCATATTTCAGAAATGAAATTCTAGGCATTGTTTCAGAGGAATTCAAGGCCATTTTTTCAGTTAAGAAGTTATTACTCTGAATCCTTATTATAAAAACCGTTTTCAATACAATCCCCTAGAATTAAATTGTGAAACACGATAGAGCAGCTTTAATTGTGGACAAAATCATTTTGCCCGACTATATTTTTGTAATGATATACAGCATGCCTATGCAAGCATCTGAAGCCATCATTTTTATTTTTTTCTATCGTAATATTCCACTTGATTTCGCTAAATAAAGCCCCATTCGTTAAAAAACTAAAGGAGTCATGTATTCATCAAAGTAAACAATGGAATCGGCAAATTCGCTTATTATGAAGAAATATATATTTAATAAAATGCGCTAGAAGTGCACTTTTTCCGACTTCAAGTCCCTTAAAGCTATCTGTGGCACACAACTTATAAAGAAATAAGAGTTATTGCAAGACTCACTTGTTTGACAAGCTATAGCATGTTTAAATCCGGATCATGCTGGCACGATATCATCGTCATTGTTGGAGGAGCTGTGTAAAGAGTGTGGGCCCAAATGCCGTTGATGGTGTGGAATTTACTATGCTTGCAATGAAACGAAAGAAGCACCATACACCTCGTCAAAGATATCCACACCCAGATTAGAGATGCAATGGTGACAGTGGTCCACTGGTGCACCGTTCATCGATGCCACCGGTCCAAATATACTCAGGCAGCTGCTGCTAGAAATGTACTAGTTTCAATTTTAACCTAATTAGCATTGAAATTGATTAGAGGTGTGAGTTACCTCTACATAAAAATCTAGCACTTATTGGGTGGCAGAAAATTCTTGCCTTTGATTTTCTCATCAAAGGAAGGCTACTATAGGAAAATAACGCTTTTTATAAAGATGTGTGTGGGTGTGTGGTCTGGGGTGGGCGTGGAGTATATGAGTGTGGGTCTGGTTTTGCTAATTACTTCACCCACACCCACGCCCCGAGATGTATAAAACCTTGCAGTAGATAGCTCTGTTCGTTTCCCATAATCATAACAAATGAATCTTGATGAATGTTTGACACTGAGAAATCTCATCACAACTCAAGCACGCAGCGCCATTGCCACCAGATACTAGAGCCTACTATACTGCAAAAAGTTATGTCCTTTCTTTCATGCTCTGAAAAACATTTTTTTAGCAAAATAAGACGTTGCTTTAGAAGCGATAACTGGTCTATTATCTGAAAAGTAATCTGTTCAAACAGTGGTCAAATTTAGAGAGCATTAGTGTAGAGTCTTATCAAGATTCAAAATGAATCGATCACTTTTGAAAGCAGTCTATTTGTTTACTGAACAGGAATCAAATGTCACGCTTTGATTTTTACGCCTCGCGTGAAAAGAATACGGTAAAAAGAGAGCAGTGCTTTTATGACCATAATTATTTATTGCATGATCGTCCTTTCACACATGCTATCTCTATCTGTAGCATCATTCGATGTTGCTGTAGTTCAATAGATGATTCGAGTGTGCTGTGGTTGTTTGAGTTTGAACTTACCAAAGGAGATTAGGGGGCCTACTATCATGTTTTTCGCGACATTTTCGGGATGTTCGGAAGTCTTTCAAAAACTGGAAAACATCGCTTTTCTATTTTAATACATTGTATTAAAAAAATAAAATATACCACAAGATGCAGCGTGAAAAGCTCTACAATTTTTATAATGCCACTTATTTTATAGCTGCACTTTTTGTTTTAAAAATCGACAAAATCTTGAAAGTATACCACTTTCATATGTTGTTTTTTCAAATTAAATAAAAAATATATTTCTAAATTTATTCATCATTTTTCTCAGAACATGTTTTTCAATCAGAAAAATGTGAACTAGTCTCTCCAGTCTCAGTCAATATCCAATATTTTTTTTGTTTTATAGAAATTTAAACAATTACTAAAAACATATTGAATATTACAAAAAACTTTTATCAAATGAAAAATTTATTGATTATCCAAAATTCCTTATCATTAACATAATTATTGATTATAATGATTCTCATCTATTCAAATATGATAATGCTTTACTACACCATGCTATTGCATTTTCATTATTAAATGATAAAAATCGGTTAACAGGCGAACTTTACAATCATCTCGGTTATATATGGATATTAATGAATAATTTTCAAAATTCATTATTATCTTATGAAGAATCATTAAAAATTTTGATTAATCATCATGTTAACGATCGTCATATTGCTAGAATTTATTGAAAAATATCCAAGACATATCGAGAACAAAGTAATTATGAAATTGCCACTATTTATGATATACAACCAAACGAATTCGATGAACATCATAGAACAAGATCAGAGTTAGATTATCAGAAACCGTTAGAACATTATCAAAATAAATTCAAAAACAAACTTGATCTTCCACCACTTCAACGCATAGATAATTTACCACCATATGATTGTTTTACTCATACATTTTCTACACCGTATGATAGTATTGCATTGGTTTATTTATTTTTAAAGGATAATTTTAACTCATTGACTATGTGGAAGAGAGCTGTCGATATACGCACAAGTTTTCTTTCAAATTAGGTTTTAGCAATTTCTATTTAATATGAATAAAGTCTTTGATTAAAAACTAACACCAAAGAAGGATTTGTAAAAGTGTCTCTTAGATGCTTTTTTGTTCGTTTATGCATTTGTATAATATTTATTTTGCAAAATTTTGATTGGCGAATCAATTCTTAGATTTAAATTCGATAGAAAAAATGTCTAATCTAATCAAACGAATATTTTGGATAAAGAAACACAATAGAATAGTATTATTTCCAATTTCTACTAGTAATGTACCTATTTTATTACGTGCTTTAGTGTTTCTCTAGCATTATATTATATATTCTAAATCACTAACATAAGAGAAATATTGACTGGACTTAATTTACATGACAACTTTATTTTTCAAATTATTCTACATATCAAGTCACGTTAAACATTGTAAATTCGAAATTAACACAACGATAAATTACAAAAAAATATCATCATAAGTATCTACTATTCAGTTCTTGTTTGGACCTATTTGCGTTCTATTTAATAAACAACTAAGTTAATATAAATACTCTGATATTTTATACGATAGCAAAAGCTAATTTAATCGATTCCACGATTATATTAACATGAAAATGATTGAAATTGAAAGAAGAAATATTCATCTCTTGGATAGAGTACTACTTGAATCGATACACTATTGATCTGGAGACAAATACTTTCTCATGATAAAAATTTGAAGAAAGACGATATCTAGTTTCAAAGCATGCATCCAGAGTGTGTGGAAGGTTGTGTTTCAAAGTATGACACAAGTCATTTTCTTTGCCTGAATATGCAAGTTTCTTCCATTCTTTATTTTATTAATCAACTTGATATATTCTTTTTTTCAATCCTAACTCAGGATTGCTTGCTGTTCAGACTTTCTCATTCTGTTCGTATGAGATGAGTTTTTTTTAGCATAGAAATACTATTGTATACAATTAATATTGACTCATATTATCTATAGGCCGCTCTGTCATGTAGACAAACAGAAAAAAATTATATCTTCGTCATTAAATGGATATCTATGAGTCCCATAAATTCTTCATTTTGTGCAGATTTCATGTGTCTTGTTTATAATATTCTAAATTATTCAAGAAGATATTTTCATGTATAAGTAAAGAAAGATTTTATTATCCAAATGAATAGATACAAAACAAAATAGTAAAGTAGAATTTTCAACCTTTTCTGTATGGCAAGTACGATCATTATCAATACTAGTCTTACAAACCCTCAATCTCTCATTGTAAAGTAATCTTTCTTTACTTATACACAATATTTATCTCAAACTAACTTATTTATACTTATTAAAGATATTTTCAGTTAAACGAATCTATTTTAATGATTCTCGATCATTAATTTCATCACAGTTATTGATCATAATTATTTTATATGGTAACGAGATAACGAAGTTATACTAATCAGTGAAAAATTCTCTATTTATTATGGAACTTAGGAAAAAAAAATTCGACTTTAATTAAAAAAACAAATATAATTTTGTATATTAATTAGCGAGATATTCTTTGAATTTATCTAGATCTGTCTAAAAAGATTTCCTTTGATTACGAGTAGACCTATGTACGAAAAAAGAAATGCATAACACTCTTCATTGCATGTTGCAAGTTGAAAGTTCAAGCTTCAATTTTAATATATACGCTATTGTAATAATTAAAAAAAATTGTAAAAAATCGTGTGTTCTACAGTGAGAAATGTCGGTATATTAGTCAAAATGAGTAACTTGTTTCTTTGTCTACCTGTTACTTTTCATATTCTTTTACTTTGATAAATGAATTAAAATGAAAAAACGCCATTCATTTGATTCAATCGGTACGATTTGCATATGCGACTTTTATCGTTTATGGACTGCGTTTGAGATTATGAGAAAGATTAGGTAAAAAACACCTGCGAAATCACATCAATAAAAGATCAAATTACAAAAAAAATAATATCAGTGATATTGGGTGTCGTGTCCATCGCACATTCCAGCAAATATTTTATCGCATCACTACTGACTACAAAAATGAAATGGTTCTGTATTTTTCTGACAATTACTTTCATTATTGTCGGCAGTAATCAACAGGAACTAACACAACCGCCAAAAGAATATTTCTTGAATAATGTCACGATCTCATTAGAACGTACCGCTTGCTTTGGCACGTGTCCTGTTTATTCGCTGATGATTCAGGGCGATGGATCGGTTATCTA